GACTGAGCCACCCAGGCGCCCCATCAACAAGGCTTTATTAAGCATCGCCTCTAGGTCAAAGCAGTGATTTAATTATAGTGGTCCATTGAGAATAGGAAGGAATCAGAAGACAAAGTCCTTGTTCTGCAAGACCTTACACCATTGAGAGAGACAAAGCTCTTTCTACACTGTACGTGAAAACAACAGAACAATATAGAAAATCTGTTTCCAAGATTGTGCTGACAGAGAAGAGTGCTTTAGTTTTTCCAAAAATCCCTGTAAGATTACTGTGAACTAAGGTTTTGTGGAGGCTCTGAGCCTTTCTATCAGACCTGTTAACATTACAAAGTTATTAGTGTCCTGCAGTGCCTTCTTGTCCTTGCTTTTCAGCGAGAGCGATCAGGGGGAACAATAATATTTGATCCACCATGTGTTTTCAAGAGGTTGCTGGTGGTAGAAAGTTTAAGAAGAGGAGGGCTTACTCATGTATAGAGGCAAATGAATTTTGAATTATGTTTCTCCTAGAGCAGCCATCCTATTTTGTGAGGTTACATTGCCACACATCAACAGATAAAAATGCCCTGCTCCCTTCTGCTTCTTCCCAGGTTCCTAGATAGAACAGAAGAGCTTGCGGTAAGTGTGGCCTTTGTTTCAGTTGGGGACCTGTTTAACAGAAATGTAAGCCAAAACCCAGTCTCCGAGATCCCAGAGTAGTTAACAGTTCCTTTCCTTTGGTATTGATTGCATCCAAAAGAGAAAGGCATCTGGGAAGCCTGAAAACTTAATCCAAGTGATGTATTATTTCTTTTTATATGCTCTTTTGATTGGGCTTATGAATATTTTTTTGAAGAATGAATAAAAACTGGCCTGGTCAATTTGTAATTTGTTTTTTAGTTTCTAGTTGTTTTCAGATCCTGGTTTATAGGAGTTTTTGGGTTTTGGCTTCCAATACTAGAAAATGTTGTAAGTTAAGAGGGATAAGATCATGGAACACTACATCAAAAACTAATGATGTAATGTATGGTGATTAACATAACATAATAAAAAAAAAAAGAGGGATAAGAAACCGGATATAGGTCAAGAAGGAAGATAGGTCAAGCTGGTGGTGCACCCAATACACATTTTGGCTGAGAGCTCAATGACTGAGTGTTAAAACTGATTTTTGGCAGATTTTCACCATTACAGAATAAACTCCTGGAATACAAGAATAAAGCTGAAATTGTACCAAAAATTTCATTATATTATTAAAACTGTAGTGATCCACTTTTTGAAAGTTTGCCCTTATAGTGCAGGGGTTAGAATTCCTCAGCACCATCAATGGCAGTCACTGCCGTTTCGTTCCTTCAGTCACTGCCTCACTGTAGCACACGTTTGTGGTGAGATCAGGGCTCACATTCAGCTGGCACGTCTAATAACCTTGCTAACCTTTGCCCAGCAGAATGTAATTCAGGAAAATGTTTTTCAGTACCATTTTGTAAAAGGAACTTGTACTTAATATTCAAGGCGTGGGAAAATCTCAGAAATCCTTTATCATAATCTACTGAAAATGACTGGCAGTCTGTAGCAATCATTTGGAAATGCTTTTTGTTTACATTTTTAATCTCCATAGATTTGAAACTGTAAGGAATTTTCTTCATACAGCATTCTTATAAAGTTTGTTGTTTTTTGAAGTTTGATTAGTGAAAATAAATGTGTTTTGGGTAGCTCATTTTCCTCTAAAGCATTCTTATTTTCTTCCTTTCTCTATTATTTTTGAATTGAAGGACTTTGTTTAAATTAAAGACTTAAGGCCAAAATGGAATTGAACAATAAAAATTAACTATAGCTCTTAAAGATTACTTTCTTTGATACTAAGAATGATTATATTCTAGATATTTTATGAAGATTAGATTATTATATAATCTCTATTCATTTACATTTTTATACACTTGTTTCTAAAAGGATATACTGTCCTTCCTGAAGTCAGTTCATTCTCTTAATATTGATATTAACTGTCAATCTGTTAATTTTTTAATCCTTGGAAGGTTTGTTTTTTTTTTAAAGATTTTATTTATGAGAGAGAAAGAGGAAGAGCAGAGGGAGAGGGACAAGGAGACTCTGCGCTGAACATGGAGCCCAATGTAGGGCTCGATCTCAGGACCCTGAGATTATGAACTGAGCCAAAACCGAGAGTCAGATGCTTAACCAACTGAGCCAACCAGGCTCCCTGGTTCTTGGAAAGTTTTAATAATTGTACATAAAATCGCAACTTTTATAATCATCATTAATTATTACATCAATTAGTTCTCGTAATAATAAATAGGGATTTAAACTTCAGTTCTTTTTTTAGAATTCCAAAATAGAAAGCACATAAGGAGATTTTCTTTCAGAGTTGTATGTAGAACCTGTAGTATTTGAATGTGCGTCTTCAGTAGGTGTCAGCAGTGAATCAGAGGACATGGCTTATTCATGTTACTGATGTTGTTAATTATTAGCTACTTATAGGATCATGCTACCATTGATCATGTACAAGGTCAAGGGTGCTGAAAATAATGTTGGAATAAGCATTTAGTTCTTTGGCCTTTCAAAGGCTAAAGCTGAAGCAAAAGCTGGTTTTAGTTAAATAGTGAGGCTGAAGCCAAACTTTGGAGTAAAGCTAGGTACTCAACTACTCAGTGCTTCATTATAGGCTAGCACTGTCCAATAGAGCTTCCTACGATGATGGCAGTATTCTCCATCTGTGCTGTTGGATATGGTAGCCACTAGTCACATGGTAAAATGACTAATATAACTAAGGATCTGAATTGTTTAACTTAATTAATTTAAATGTAAATGTAAACCAAATGGGGGTAGTGGTTACAGTGTTGGATATTGCAGTTATAGATTTTGAGTGATTTTGAAGATTTTCTTTTTTAAAGTAATCTCTACACCCAGTGTGGGGCTTGAACTTACAATCCCGAGATCAAGAGTCCCACGCTCTGCTTACTGAGCCAGCCAGGTGTCCCCAAAGAGCAATTTTGAATTACTCTCTACCCTCTCCCTACCTGCATACCTGTCCCCACTCAGAGGAATCTCTGATAATGAAGAATTTAGTTTTTTAAGGATGGAAAGGCTACTTACATAGCCACTTCACCCTTCAAAGGAGACAAAGTAGACAAAATGGTTCAAAGCCTTTCTTTCTTTTGTTTATTTTTTTGTAGCTGTCTCATTATCGTGAGCACTTGAACATTCAGGACCCTGAGAAACGAAAAGAATTTCTTAAGACCTGCATTGGGTAAGTATTGGGGAGAAATGTTTTAAAGTATAAATATTCTTATACAGAGAACTGAAGAGACTAAATGAGGGTGGAGTGGATAGGTAATTGAAGGGAAAGGCTAACAGTGGGTTGTACAAGCATCATTAAAGCTGGTCTCATTCAGTGCTTCCAGACATTAATTCCCCAGTAGAGTTTTCACTGATGGGTAGTAAATTGAGAAAAATAAAGAAAATGTGAAGAGTTTTTTTCTACAGTTAAATTTATCTAATTTGAAAGACTGCCTTTTATTCTGGGATTATTTTTTCCTCCTCTCCCTCCCTTTTTGGGGGTAAAATGGGATGTAATTTTTTTTATGACTTTATATATTACAATAAAAAGGTTGGCAGCACTACCTTCCATATTATTTTCAGTGTTAACTGGTCCCCGAGACCCCAGAGCACAAGAACCACTGATTCAGTATAGGAATTCATCCAGGATATAAGTCCCTATAAAAACCAGCCCCACATACTACTCTTCCAGTGATGAACACTCACTGCTCTTGGAAGTAGCTTATTCTAGTGCTCGCTTCGGCAGCACATATACTAAAATTGGAAGAAAGTAGCTTATTCTGTTGTTGGACAACTTTCATTATCGTTAAATACTTATTGAGCTGAAACTTGCTTCTTTCTCTTTCAAGACGGGCATAGAGTCTACACAGTAGGTCTTAATCCAGGTTCAGTATTCACAGTTGCTTTGGTCATTCCTCATGGGATAGGAATTCCAGGATTCACATTTAGAAATTTGTCTTTGTCTGTGCAATCCTTAATTTTAATGTTACCAGATACTGAGCTATGTCATAGTGGCCTCTGGTGAACAAAGAGAAGAGTTAGAATAGTGAAGTAACTGAAACCTAGTGCTGTCTCCCTTTATCTCTTCTAAAAATTGGCTGTGGCTCACACTTACCTGGGATAGTGTAACTGAGTTTCAGAATTCTTCCGGGAGTGAGTGGAGTACAGGACTAAGGCAGCACTTTCTAAAGGAGAGATCTGTGAACTGGAAGCTTAAAATCTGGCTTCTGTTCCTGCCTTACATCTTGGTTTACCATGTATGACTTTCAGGCAAGATTCTCCTTGTCCCTCAACTTTTTCATGTGTAAAATATAGTGTTGAAGATGGGACCCTTGATATCTGTGTAGATGTCTGCGATCTTTATCAGCCTATACATGTACCAGCATGCCTGGTAATTTAATTTTACCTTATTCCTCTGCAATAGGAAATGGCTAACAATTGTAAGCACCCCTTAAGGAGAGTTAAGCGTTGACATTAAGGCAGGACAGGAGCCACAGGGCTTCACTGGGTTGTGGATGATGGGCAGTCGCCTAGGCTCACTCATTCACTAAGTGACTCATTCGCCAAACATTCCAGCTCCCACAGTGAGAGGTTTCTAACTCATTCCTCAGCAAAACCGCTGATGACTATATATTTTGTGGACTTTCAGGATCCCTCTTTTTTTTTTTTAAGATTTTATGTTTTTTAAAGTAATCTCTGCACCCAACAGAGGGCTGGAACTGACAACCCTGAGATCAAGAGTTGCATACACTACTGACTGAGCCAGCCAGGCGCCCCTCAGGATCCCTCTTGAATTGGCAAAACCTAAAATACAGAATCCCGCCAAAGGTCTATTCTGTTTTCTGCTTTCTCTCTCTCTGCCTTTCAGGGTTGCTCTAAAGGTGCACTGAGATCAGATTTGTGAAGTGCTGTGAGCCTCTTCTGCTTACGGTGGTGATTTGATTTAGTTGGGTTTGTTTCTTGTTTCAGTAGAGAAAGAGGTACTAACCTTCTGGCTCTTTACCAGTTTGCCATTTTCAGCAGAAGATTCTGCACATATTCAAGACCATTACACCCTCCTGGAACGCCAGATCATTATTGAGGTTAGACTCCTTGTCTCTACATTTTCTGCTTCAATGCTAGTGCTCAGTGCCATTCAGCATCTAGGAGACCTCTATGCTCTGCTGTATGTGTCATTTCCTGTTATATCCTCTAAGAGCCTTTCATTTCCTCTTTCCATGGTAGCCCTTTCCCCTTCATTGTTCTCAGGCATCCTTTTTCTTGCTGTTAACCTGGAAGTGTTTTCTCTCCCAGAACTCCCATTTCATCCTTACTTCTCCAGTCGTCCTCCATTCAACATGGATCTATCATCATTTTATGGATTTTAAACTCCCCTGTGTTATCCTGGGCAGTTTCTTTCTTTCTCTCTTCTTTGCCTCCTTCCTAGGATAGGAAGCACAATGGCTTTAGTATTTAATGTTTCTCTCCTGCCTCTACTCTGCGGATATTGTTGTTTTTTCACTTGGTTCACTCCACCACAGGCAAATGATCGACATCTAGAATCAGCAGGACAGACTGAGATCTTTCGGAAGCACCCCCGCAAAGCTTCTATCCTCAACATGCCATTAGTGACCACGCTTTTCTACTCGTGCTTCTACCATTACACGGAGGCTGAGGTACAGGCAAAGTGTGAAAGACCCCACACTCTCTCACCACACAAGAGAAGATAATTTTAAGCCAATTATTTCAGTGTGCTCTTAACAGTGGGTGTGTGTAGTTCTTGGGGAGGTCCATCCGGAAGCTTCCCTGGCCCTCAGAAGGGGTGAGCCAAGGGGGAAAAAGAGGTTTGAAAGGACTTGTGTGGCTTCCAGGAGCTGGCATGCTAGCATGGGACATTCGGTCTCACCAGTGCTGGTCCCTGCTCAAAGGTCCATAATTGCAAGTGGATTCACATGGTATAAAGAAGAGCAGCAGGGTGTTAAGTATTTGTGGGTACTTAAAAAAAAAAAATGTTTTTTTGAAGAGATTCGAGTTTAATGATCATAGGTGGGAATGATCATAATGATCACAAGATTGGCATAAAATTGAGAAATACACCATACCTATTAATCCAGTCTTGTTTAGCCAAGTTATGATATCCAGTTAGACCTGGTGGAGTTTTTCTCTTAAATTAACTTCTGGGTTTAAATGGCTACAGAGAGAAATGTACAGTGTCTACGTAGTGGAAAGAAAATGTTAGATTGGGTGGTATTTGGGAAAGTCAGTAACAGTAAAATTCCTTCTCCATGGGGCTCCTGGGTGGCTCAGTTGTTAAGCGTCTGCCTTCCGCTTGGGTCATGATGCCGAGGTCCTGGGATGGAGCCCCGCATCGGGCTCCCTGCTCCGCGGGAAGCCTGCTTCTC